TCATTTAGGTTATATAAGCTAAACTGATATTAATATGATAAACTAGTTTTAAAACAAGTATTTGAGTTAACTATTAACATATATTATTTATTATTGATAAATAATATATTGCAATAATAATTAATATATTATTATTTATTAATAAATAATGTATTAATAATAATTGATTATTATTAATATGGATATTTATTAAAGATCATCAGAGTTGTTAATTAATATTAATATTTCAGAGAGATATTTATTGATTTTTACAGATATAATGATAATTCTTAATAAATATCTTCTTAAAAAATTTTCTGATATGTACAAACTCATACTTTTGACCAATCTGTTTATAATCCAATTGAGAGAAGTATGATAACACTCTCTGAGAAGCTTGTCAGAATCATATTTCCTGTTGACTATTTTGATTCACATCTAAATAGTTAGAAAAATATAATCAATAATAATCTAATATATAAAAATTTTCAGTATGTAGGAGAAAGACTATATGATATATAGAAGAAAGATTTGATTCATGAAAAAGAAGTAATTTGTAAATATATTAATAAATATATCAATTTATTTAAAGAAAATAATTTTGAATCCATCTGAAGTTAGATTAAAAGATACATGCAATTATCTCAATATGTCTTGGATTTTTAAAAATATAATGACAAAACTTATTATCAAGTATTCAGAGTACTTGATGTAATAACTCTATTAGAAGAAAATAATGGATTTTTTCCTTTCATTATTAAAGAAAAAGATAATTATTATCTAAATCTAATATACATACTTGAGTATGCAGATCAAATAAAAATTCTATTATATGATAAATATTATTCTTCTATTACTAGTAAGCTCCATGCTCATTTGTATTGTATAATATGTACTCTCAATTTTATGATAAAATATTAAAAAAATGAGTACAAGAGTAAAAGAGGATGGTCATAAAAAATAAAGCTATCTTAGCAACTGGAAGTAGTTTCTTGTAATGGGTCTAGCAATTCAGTTATTCTAGACATCTTATCACATACACAGGTATCACTTTGAGAAGAGTATGAGATGGATTTTTAAACAACTTAATCTGAAGAAGAACCTTAGATTTTCAAAAAAGTAATTAATATAAATATGAGAATATAGATGTAAGAAAAATTATAATTTGATAAATAATTTTTTTTGACTTGATGCATGATAAATTACTAGATATGACAGGCAGCTTGTCCTTCTCTCTCCTCTTAAAAAATCATGTAATAAATGACACTCCCCTAATATTTAATTATATTTTATTAAATATTAGCTTAAAAGAATATTATTCATAAATAATTTTACAAGATTTTAGTAAAATTATTATAGCAAAACTAAAAGTATTATAATTAAAATAATATTTATAAAATTTTTAAAATTTATTAAAATAATATAAAATTAAATAAATAATTATAGAGATTTAAAGATTTTTTGATTATAATAAATATCTTTATTTTAAGTTAATATATAATAGAATAATAATATTTTTTAAACTATATTATTATTTAATTTATAACTTATTAATAAATTCTTTTTATTATATTATTATTTTATTTTAATTAATATAATTATTATTTATTTTTAAATAAATTCTTAATAAATTTTAAAAATTATATTTTATATTTAATTTATTTTTTATTATAAATTATTTTTTCTTATATTATATTTCTCATAATTCAAATCTGATTTATATAAGTATATGAATAATAAATTTTAAAATTATAATAAATTTAAATATAATTATATATTATATTCTTTTATAATTCAAATTTATATATAAATTTTGATTGTATTTAACTATAATACTACATGTATATATTAAAATATAAAAAATTTGAATTATTAATACAGTCTGATGTTCTGCTATCCATTTTGTTAGCTTTTCTATTAAATATCTCTTTTCTTATATTTCTTTTTTTTCAACTTGTCTTTACTAATTCTTTTTTCCTTGCAATCCAACTTAATTCAGTTATATTTGATATTAATCAGCCAATTTGTATAGATGTAATACCCTTCTGCAATATGACTAAGAATATAGGATTGATCATGACTCTTTGTATCTTGAATTTTATAAATCTCTATTTATCACCATTCTATTATTTATTTGATATAATTTAAGACAAAAAATCTTACTATTTCTTTGAGATATTCATTTTTCTGTTGTTTGAACAATACATTATATAAGTCTCTCAAGAATTTTCATATGTATACCTATTATTATCTTATTAACAATCCTTGTTGTATAATATGTAGTACCCACTCATCGTATGCTCCTTTTACCCCTCCACTTGTAATATATTGTAAATCATAAATAAATAAATAAATAGATACAATTTTAAAAATTTCGGATAACATATTCATGTTTTTGATGACAGAGATCGTTCTTTGATCTATCAGAGTTATATCATCATCAATACCATAATTAACATTTCCATTTTCAGCATGTTTCTTCAGTACTATTACTATACGCTTGTAGATGCCGATGGTCTACTTTAAGTCGATTTATCGTCAAAAATGAGAATCCTTTGTTCATTATTATCAGCCAAATTATTTGATTTATTGGCCAACATTTTTAAAGACAAATCTACTATGGAATTATCACGTGAATGAATGAAACCGGAATCGCGTCGTTCTTGAAATTCTTTTGATTGATCTTCGGATACTGGTGTCTCTTCTCTCTCATTTTCTTCTTTTTCTTCCTCTATTGAAAATAAGGACGAAGATAATATTATCACATCATCGTCATTCTTCTCATTGTTATCCATTTTTGTCTCATCATCATCATTATTGTCAACATAGTTATTATTGGGATCATAGTTATTATCAAGATTTTTGGCTTCGTCATTTTCATTATGGATAGTAAGAGAGAGCTCATCAACAGAATTACTATTTTCAATTGAAGAGAAGTTTTCTTTATCTTTTTGTGTGCTATTATTATTAATATCATTTTTTGCAATTCTGCTGTCTCTTCCGGTTCCCCTTCCTCTTTTTTTTCCAATAAGTTTCTGCTAATCCTTTTTCTTCCAGTTCTTTTTTCCTCGTGATCTATTTATTATATTTATCTATCGTTAACCAAAAATTTAAAACGACGAACAAATCACATTGATTATACCCGTACCGCATCTTCAATTGCTTTCATCATTTTCGCCTTCAATTTCTATAGTCATCCAAGTTGTACAAGCATTGGTTAAAAAAGGATGTAAGCTTTGGTATCGGTTGATAAGGTGACGATTTATTCGACGAGAACGTTTTGATTTCTGATATGAGTAACAATCATTTAAGTTTTGTTGATGAAGAAAAACAAATAATACTAAAGGATTACCTTGTTCGCAATCCTTATCATAAGATTTTAGTAATTCTTCATACTATTTGAATTTTTTTTGAATGAAAATGCGCTTAAAACTACTTAAGTGACGTTTGCATTTCCAAATATAGACAAACCTTGTTGATGTGTCCATCATGCATTACTTCACCAAAATTTATCACTGGTTTAGTGTCTATTTGTATGTTATAATATACATAAATGTTATCTTCAAAATCCACGTACATAAAGCAAGGCACACTGTATCCAGGAGTGATGGCATATTTTCCTATTAAAATTCGAATCGATTACAAAGGAAAAAAAAACTACCGAGATTCTCTCATATCTAATAAAAATCAAAACAAAAAACACAAACCAGCGGCAAAAGCACAAACTCTACTCTCAAATTCTAAATTTACTACGTTGAATTCATGATCAATCACATACGTGCTTCCGTTCCACGCGCATGTAATAAACACGTCATCACGTCGTTCGATATTAATCTCAACGTTAGTTTCCTCGTCCGTGCGAAATTCGCCGGTTTGTATGTTTATGGTTTACTCTGAGTTCGTGTTTGGATATTTAACCGGATTGTAAGTCATAATATTTGAATAATCCTGAAAAGATATGACTACTCGTGAGACATCAAATAGAAATGATTACAAATAGAATAATAAATATATCGTATTACCGTCCATAGTGATAATTACTATGATCCCTAAACATTTACCTATTTGACAAATTCTGGATTAATTTTTCTTAGTGAAATATAAAAATAAGCATCCTCATAAGTTTCCTACCATCCCTCCATTTAACCCCTTTGATAAGTTCGATCGATACTTTATTTACTTCTTCCAATAAGCCAATCTCATTAGGAGCGGGTGAAGTGCGTTTTTCGTTTCTCTCTCTGACAGAAAAATGGCCACCAGGTTGGCCTACTAATAATAAAGATGCTCTAGTATTTGGATCGATGGTCGAAAGTAGAGAGGTGAGCTTTATGAGTTCAAAATAATTATTTTATTAAATGCTACTTATAAACAAAACGACCCAGAATCTATTAGAATGAATGGCAATGGCAATTTAAGAACATAGAAAAAAAGATTGAACTACCTGATGATCGAACAACCATTTCTTCTTTTTCGTTAGATAAAGGCTCTCTTCTTTTTTAGACGGTACCCCGCCAATTGTTTCTGTCGCGTAATTACTGCCACTACTAATGCTACTGCTATCATTCAATAGCGACGGTGACGGCATTTGAAAATTATATATGTGAAGAACACGATCAGTACGCGCGAGTATAATCTCATTTTGACCATCTCCGTCTACATTCAATAACAAGATAATGGGTTTCGAGTGTACCATATAATCCTTGTTAAAGGTGTTGGTTTTAACGAAATCGCTTACCAATATCCGCAATCAAAATATCACCGGAACACTCAACGTCAAGTCTGGTTTCCCAATTTCATGAGATTTATCATTAATGATGGGTCGGATTGGAGGTGGAGTGCTTCCGTCGTCAATAAGTGAGGTAGAGGTAGTATTCGGCGATCCAAAAGCAATATCGAATATATGGCATTTTCCTTCAGCATTTACACACACGATCGAATTCTATTGTGTATTATTGAGTTTTAGTTTACATAATGCTTATTGAATACAGATGGTTAGCTGGTCGATCTCTCTTGACTGTATGTTACCTTTCCGGAATTTCGTATATCACCAACACAATGCAAGTGATCTAACAAAGGATTAATTAAAAATCATCTTTTGTACATTCAATTTCAAGTCAATCTGGAATTAAACCCAATTTATCGAATTCTGAGCATAATTTACTAATGAATAATTTACCTACAGTTCCTAAATTTTTACAGGTCATAACAGGTTGTCCCACAGACCGAAAATACCTTTGAATATGGCTAGCTCGCCTTTAAGGTTTCCAACGATAAATTCGTTATCCTTTTGATACACCACATTGAAAATGTATATTTGCATTATTAACCATGTTTAAAGATATTAACATGTCAATGGCGACGATAGTGGCAAACTCACCTCGTCATTATCCACGTCACCAAATGCGTACGCATGTGGTGTCATGTTCCCTTCAAAGGTCCATTTTAACCTATCTACCAAACATATAGACTTCATATTTGAATTTGATAGTGTTGATATTATTCTACAGTCCCACAATTTCTCGAACTTTTAAAAATCACATGACTAGATTGGGTGTTCGGCCAACTTTATAGTTCTCCATCATTACGTATGTGTAAACTAAACCTATATACTGCAAAGTGAAGAATAGACTGACTTTGTGGTTTCCATGGCACATTAGATTAATATATAAATGGCAGAGGATCATCTGAGAGCCGTAACCCATTTTTCTTTCTTGGCAGAATGAAGTTGTTACGGTTTATTTCACGACTGCTACATTCTTCCGAAAAAAGAATACGACGAATTCATACTTGATTCCGATCGATGCACAAATTAAACGATCTTCATAATAAAATGCGCGTTTGAAAAGTTTATGCTTTACTGAAAATGCATCTTTTATTCCACGCTAGTAAACCCAAAAATCTTCGTTATTTATTTGTAACGCATCGTAATCATTTATTAAGTGAAAAATTAAATAATAATTCGTTGTATTCATCATGGCGCGGTCAACATACTGCAGCAGAATCTGATAATAGTGATTCTAATAAAAATCGAAAAAAATCAAGAGTACTAACAGAGCATGAAAAATCGATAATTGATTCAATGATTAGAGTTGATCATGCCGGTGAAGTTGGAGCAGATTGGATTTATAGAGGACAGTTGGCAGTGTTAGGGAAAGATAAAGCTGTGGGACCTGTGATCCAGGTGTGTGCGTGCGCGCGATTGCTAGATCGAATAATTATGAAAGTTTCTGAGATCGTTAATTTCTTAATATGGATTTTTTTGTACAAATTTAAATAATTAGGAAATGTGGGATCAGGAAAAACATCATTTATCCACATTTGATGAAATTATTTC